GCGCTCCACCTCCCCTGTCCTGTGAGGCGGACAACCCCCCTTCCCCTACCCACACCCCCTCCCCTACCCACTTTGATGCATTTTTCAAATTTCGCCTTGGGGCGGAGTTATCTTTTCACAGGGGGGTAAGATACACTTTAAATCTTTCCATGTTATTCAAAGATTCCTTTCAACATTTCGTAAGCTTTTTAAAAATTACTTATGATATGAGAAGTGACTTTGCAATGCCCATTGTAAATAAAATATTTGTGACGCGCTACAGCAAAAGTAAGAACAAATCGCTGCTGCTTAAACCAAGAAAAAAATACAAATAAATAAATAAAAAAACATCAATTTCTGTGTAAATAAAAAATATTGATGGAAAACAAAAAACTGATCTTCCTGTAGTCTGTTTAAGTAAAGTGATAATGAAACAAACTGACATGCATGTCATATGTGTAACACAGTGTATATGCATACATGTTTGTATGTCAGTAGCATTTTACACTACATAAAGCAACATGTAAATTAAAAATATCAATGGCTTCTATACACCATATCGAATCCAGAAAGCGGTTCTCTCTCACAATATCATAAGCGTTAAATACATACAATTTATAAACTTCAAGAGCATGGTAACATTTGAATATACTGTAACTGATAAAGGATAGCATAAAAGTAAAAGCAGCAATAATAATATATATGAACGTATGTACTAATCTTGCCAGGAAAATGTACTGAAGATGCTTTACAAATGATCCAAAGTCACCAATTTGATGAGGAATGGTGCCCTGTATTTTTTCAGCACAGATGCTACATGATTAATTTTGACCAGATCAATAAGCTCCAACCTTAATGGTATCATTAACAGTACCATAGCAGTGGTATGATGAGCGCAGACACAGTGCATGTTGTGTTGTTTTTTTCTCCTATGTTGACATACTCTGCGTGAAGGGAAGAGGCTGTTAGAAACACTGGATTCCAGCGCTGATGTGACCCAAATACGCAGAACAAGACCCAACGTCACATTCAGCACAGTGTTTAAAGAAGTAGCCTATGGATGCTACACGTTAGCATAATGATTGTTAAGTTCTTGTGCAATCAGAGGAGTTTTAATATTTATCTATCCATCTATCCGGTGCAGCATTTTAATTTTGAAATGAAGAGAGATGTTAAAACTAAAGTATCGATGGATTAACTTTACCTATCTGTACGATCTGCGACTGACTATCATATTTTTCTATAGATTATCAGTCATCCACGACACTGGAAATGAAAAAAAAAGGACATAGCAACCGGACTTCTGCTCCATAGCTGAAGACGTGTGGAGTTATAAGATTTACACTGCGTGACTCGAGGTTAGTGGATCAATCCACTCACCCCAACCTCACGTCAGATGAAACGCAACAAGCGTTCAGACTGAGGTCTCTTTGAAAGACATCAGATGTGTATCTGATTCAGGACCTGAAAAGAACCTGGTCGGATTGAAAAAAAAGGTTGGATTTATCACTTCCGACAGTCATGAAAAAATTCAACATTGCCTCCATTTTAAATATATTGGGAAAAAACTTGACATGCAATAATGCCTTGAAAATAAAAAAGTGGTTTTACTGTATGTTTTATACTGTTTGAAAAATGCATTTTCATAGWTTGTCYTTGGTTTTATTCCCATAGAAAAGCACCAATAARAGGACCATTAAAATACTGGMGTGATAATRTCGATAAGAGTAGTAGTAGCAAYAAAATCTTAATGATAACCATCCCCAGTTTTGAGTACAAACCATTTTGGGTGGAAGTAATGAACATGCATATGGGGCTKTTAAGAGTCTTAATCGGTGTAGGTCAGATTGGACAACATCTGTGCCAAATTTCATCAAGATCTGATCATGTTTATGAATGTACAGACTTGAAAAAACAATTATCAGTCATGTTTTTATTCTTTTGCCTACTGCTAGGTAGCCTGGCCCATGCCTTCCTATG